TAATTTATATATATTTCTCCCCTTTCTGTAAGTTTTTCTATTGTCTCTTTTTAAGTTTCCTGTTAGAGTCTGATCTCCTGCATTAACCTGTTGGATCTCCTAGATTAACCTTATTATGCTTGCTTTTTTTTTTACATTAAAGAAAACTCTTCCTTTTTGCCTTTCCCCCTGGGAAACTGGGTCTTTTTAAATCACTAAATTGCCCAGGTTGGGCTTGAATTTATAACTCCCTGCCTCAGCCTCTCAGAGCGCTGGGATTACAGGTGTGCACCATAACAGGTCTCTCCTTCTCTTATGCTACACTATCTTTAATTATCTGTCAGGATACTAAATCAAACCTTTAAACATTCTTTTCTTACTCTTGAGTCATCTATTTTAATTCCTCTGAAGTCAACTGACCTTTATTTTTATCTTTAGGGGAGATGTGTGCTTCAATTTTCCTCACAGCTCTGGTGATCTTAATCGTCCATCTATACTTATGAATAAATGAATATGTTGATTTATAAAATGAATGGCCAGTGTAATGTTCCTTTCCCCTCATTTGGAGGTCTTTACCCTGCAGATCCTTTTCCAGTGGGAGGGACAGAATAGTGGGGAGCTCCATGCAAAGGTGACATCTGTCCAATGATATCTTCATTTCAGGGTTCACAGGCAAGAAGCACGTAGAGGCCGTGTGGCCACCTTGCCCCATGTCTACCTATCCCCCGACAAAAGCAGGGCTTGATTCTGGGCACTCACACTGCATGGGAGGCCTCAGCCTTTTGCTCTCTGTGTTGGCCCTGCCACATGGGCGTGGAGTGTGAGGGAGGCTCGTCAGGCTGGGTGACATCTCCCTGGGTGGAAGAGGGTCGTGGGAGGAGCAACTCTCCGGGGCTCCCCTGGGAGGCGTGATCTGGCCTCTGTGTGCGTCCTGAGCTGTGGCTTCTCTGCTTCTCCCCCAGTATCATGGCGGTGGAACCTGCCTTTCCTCTTCCATAAGCTGCGCTGCTTTTTCATTCTCAGTGTTGTTAATAAATTTCTTTTCTACTAAGCACCAAAATTTATTTTCTACTAGTGGTGTTTAAGGAGGGAAGAGAATTAGGCATGTTCACTTGTCATTTATTTTGAACTATAGGTCAATCATATGTGCTTTGGGTGCATAAGTCCTATACATTTGTACACGTCAAATACATTGCTTTTCAAGTTCTTTTTCATTTTAAAGAGAAAAAAATAAAAGTAACAATAAAACAGTTTCCAAACAGGTTAGTAGGAGAGTTACAATAATTAATACATTGAGTATTGTTGTCCTCATAGTAGTTATTCAGAGTACAAGCTATAGGCATGATAGCTTGTCCAAACAATATTAGAACAAACCTTTCTTTTCAATGAACTGAGAGAAACTAGCTGTATAGCTATCTTAATTGTCTTATATATAAATATATTTTTCTTTTTAATGTTACAAATTTAATGTATATTTTTGTCAATTCAGCTCAGACTAGTTTTCAAAACAAATTATGAATTTTGAGAGATGTTGAGAGGATACTGCTACTAATCAGAATGAGAAGTTAAGCAAATGTATAAATTATTAAAAGCCAGTACCAAAGCTGTCTTTCTGTACCACCCATATCACCCAGATAACCAAAGGGCAGCATCGTGTTGCAGGGTGAGTGAAGATCAAAGGGTAACTCTGAAGACCGAATGATTATCTATTAAGAAACAGAAAAACTAGGGGCTGCGGATTTAGCTCAGCGGCAAAGCGCCTGCCTGGCAAGCGCAAGGTCCTGAGTTCGGTTCCCGGTACCAGAGAAAAACAACAAAAAAAAAGAAACAGAAAAACTTATAGCTTTAGAATTCTATAATCAATGAATAGAGTTGTAGCATTTGAAGGGTGTGGATTCCAATTGGCTGGATGGTCAGACACACAGCCCGGAGACAACAATGAGGGGTTGTGGAGTCAGAGTCTGTCAACCTTTACTGAGTCCTGCAGTGTACCAGGCTTTGTTCTAAGTGCTTTTTCACCTGATTCCTTTAATTGTTATAAATAATATGTGTATTTATATTAAGTTAAGTCTTATCACCAGGTATGGTGGTGCACGCCTGTAATCCCAGCACTCAGGATGCTGAGGCAGGAGGATCATTGCGAGTTCGAGACCAGCCTGGGCTACAAAGTGAGCTCAGGGCAGCCTGAACTGCATAGCGGGACTTTGTCTCAAAAAGACAAAAAAAAAAAAGTATTATCTTGTTGAATGTAGAAATAGATTGAATTAAGTTATTTGTATGCAGTCAAGGAAGAAGATATTTTGCCCCTAAATCCAGCTTCCTTAAGAGGTTCTGCTCTGGTATGTGGGCAGCAGAGAGCAGTCAGGGAAACTGCTACACTCTTTCACCAGTGAAGAAATGGGATGTCCAGGAGGCTAAGCAGTTTGACTCTGGTCACCCAACTAGAATGTATTAAAATCAGCTCTAGAACCCAGATCACTATTCCTGTCTTAACTTCACATAGGTGCACCCTAGTTCACTAATACTTGAATTTTCAGGATTTTTATTGTGACTTATGATTGTTAATTCCTAGGTGCCCCTTGGCTTTGGTGTGGCTGCCAGTGTTCAAGTGGGCAATGCTTTGGGGGCAGGGGATGCTGAGCAGGCCCGATGCTCCTGTACCACTGTTCTCCTGTGTGCTAGTGAGTATAGCCCTTCCACTCCCCAGTGTCTATATGGAATTTAGTATGACAAGTTAAAATCAACATGTCAGAATTTCTCTAGGAATCTTTATTCCTTATGTTCTAACTCACTGAGTTAAATAAATCTCCTAGGTATAATTTTTTATTATAACGGAACAACTTAATAATGGCTGCGGATATAGCTCAGCGGCACAGCACTTGCTTGTCATGTGCAGAGTCCTGAGTTCAATTCCCAGTACCAAAAAACCAAAAAAAACCATAAAATAATATTATGTTGATACTACTGAAATATTTTCAAAAGCAGTTATTATCATGTACAATCTTATTTTATGATCACAGTCTGAATGCTGGATTCTCTATGTTCCTGGACTGTCACCTCCTCTGGCAGTTCTAATGTCCTGGAATCTGAGCAATGAGAAAAGATTCTGAGGTATTGATGTCTTAGTCTATATGTGCCACTATAATAGAACACCTCATACAGGCAATTTATCAGGAGCAAAAACTTATTTCTCAGAGCCCCAGAGAGTAGGAATTCCACGATGAAGGAGCCAGTAGGATTGGCTTTGAGATGAGAGCTGCTGTGTGCTTCCAGGATGGCAGCTCGATACTGTATTCTCCTGAGCAGAGACAGTGTGTCCTCACATGCAGGAAAGGAAGGGGTGAAAAGGGGACCAGATTCCCCCTGTCTGGCCCTTTTATAAGGGTGCCTGACCTCATCCATGACAGCAGAGTCCGTGTGATTCAGTGACCTTCCTTAGGCCACACCTCCCATGCTGTTACTTTCAAGGTTAAATTTCAACATGAAGTTTGGAGAAGATAAAACCCAAACTATAACAACTGTTGAGGATATTTCCTGTTAACCCTCCCTTAAAAACTATCATAATCATCAGATGCCCTTTTTATAAATAGTAAAAAGAAACACTATTTATATTATAGCTTTTTTTTTTGGTCTTTAGAATTGGGTTTTCACTACATTGCCCAGGCTGGTCTCAAACTTGTGGGCTCATGTGAGTGTGCTGTGTCCACCTTCCAGTAGCTGGGATTACAAGTATTTCTTAAATTACTGATGCAGATCTTTCACGAGAAGTCAGCCCTAGGATTTACCACTGGAGAACTGTGATGTCCTCCTGCTTCTTCCTTGTTTTCCAGGTGTGTGTGCTCTTACAGTGGGAGTTCTGCTCACAGCTTTGAAGGATGTGGTTGCCTACATATTCACCCGGGACAAGTATGCTATCATTGAGAAAAACGTCTGGTTTGGTTTGATGCTTTCATCAATGTATTTTTTTGATTATGAGAAGCAAGTAGCGTTTAAGCTCACCAGAAGACATGCAGTACAGCCAGTAGTCAGAAGCACAGTGCTAAATTTTAAATAGGTTGGAATGAAAAAGCCCATGGAAATCATCTCTGCTGGTCCAGTATCCAGTACAGTTTTGGTCAGATACACAGAAAAGCACATGGCATATCCTCGCCACCAGGGGGCGCCACACAGTCTAGGGTATGCCGACAACATGCTGCCTGGGCAGTATCTGCAAAACTCACTCATCTAATACTAAGCTACATTTTATTGTATTTTCTGAAATAATGTTTGCATAATTTTGAGGTATAATAAAGTGAATTTTCAATAAAAATTCTTCATAGACAGAGGTGTGGCTCAATGGCAGGGTGCTTCTTTATGAAAAAAGCTTCAATAATTTGTACTTCAGGTCCCTCCTCAGAAGAAACTCAGTTTTGTTCTTTTTAGCTTGTGCTCTCCAGCTGCATCTCATCCCACTGGCCTTAGAGCAATGCTTAAACATATTTGCAAAATCTTAGGGCTGTGAGGGAGTCAGAGGGACTAATAGAGATAAGATTTTCCTTTCTACCTTAACAAGAAACTAGAATTTTAAAAAAGCTCGGTATCATTTCTAATTTTTAAAAATTTTTTATTCTCTTTAATGGTTTGATTAATCTTGCATTCCTACATCTGGTAATCTGAGCAACTTCGTTGGAGATAACAATATGTAATGTAACAACCACTGTTAATTCCTATCACTTTGTTCTGAAATCCTGTATCATTTTTATTCTTTTTGCTTTCCTTTGCTTTTGTCTATGTTGTTGTTATTTTGTTATTTTTTATTCTCTTTAAAATGAAAAAATAGATATGTTAAAAATGGTTTTCAGACACTGAACAGTAGGCAGCACAGAATAGTAACTCTTGAGAGAGGAGTAAAATAAAGAGACCCCATCCTTGCCTACCTTACTGGGAGAGTTTCCAGACCAGGAAAGTAGAGCCCTGGCAAAGTCTCCAGCAAAGTCTCTGGTATCCAGCAAAGTAAAAGCCACAATGTCTCGCATACAATTAAAAATTAACAGGCATACAAAGAAGCAAACACCTAAAACTAACAATGAAGAGAAACATCAATCAACTGAAACTGATCCAGAGTTGAAACAGAAGAAACAGTTACTACACACAGAATGTTAGAAAGTTTTTGTAACTGTGACCATATTCTCAGGAGGCAGATGAAGAAAGCATGAGCATGTTAAAGGGAGACCTCAGAGATGGCAAAACCAAATTGAATTTCTGAAGTTGAAAAAAGAAGTCTGTGGTGAAAATATATTGGACAACATTAACAACAGATTAAACATTGTAAAAGAAAAGATTAGTGATCTAAAAGATGTTGCAGTTGGAAATACCCTCCATGAAATGCAGAGAAAAAGACTGAAAAAATAAATACTGTATCAGTAAGCTGTGAGTGAGCTAAAAACCATGTAATCATGTTCCTAAAGCAAAGGAATGTGAAGAGAGACAGAAGACAGTTTGAATAAATAATATCAAAAAATCTAAACAAACTTGGTAGAAACCTTAGGATTAAAGGAATCTAAAAGGCTACTTGATGTAATCACCCATCCGGGATTCCTCCCAAATGACCTTGCCAGATTGTGCGGTTAACACATACTTTCATAAACTCACTGATGGAGAGCTTGCTACCTTCCAACACAGTGCTGATTCTTAGTACGCCTTGCTTATTCAGAGCTGAAATCTTCCTTTCTCTCATAACTTGCCCCAGGGATACCAGCTGTGCTTTTGATCCTGTGCTAGCCTGTCCTTCCCTGAGCGGACAGCCTTACCAGAGATTCCAGGTGATTCTTGTGCTCCACGGGGTCCTCTCCTGCATGGCAGAAACCCGTAATTCCTTCAGCTGTTTTTCATGGAATATGATTTTGGGTCTCGACTATCTTAAAATCACATCAGCCTAGAGATAGTATTCTCAGTCCTAATAGCACCATTTAGGGCAGAGCTGTGTCCATTATACCTCCTTTTACCTGCAGCCTCCAGGGAAATATTGAGCTTTTGGTGGTTTTGTCACCTTAAGACATTTGAGCCCCCTGCCACTGTGCACGGGTCAGCCATGATCCGCCACTCTTCCTTCTCCAGGTGTCCTCCTGAGCCCAAATGCGGAATCCCACATATGGATTTGTTGATTGCTGATTCTTATTTTTTATTCATCTTGACATATTTGGTTCCTAATTATGTTGCTGATAGTGTTTCCTACCTCTTCCAGCTTCTGCATCTGTGCATTTGATACAGACTTTTATACCCGCCCCCAGCCCTTCTTTCCAAGCGTTTGGTTAGTCTGTTGTTTGTACCGTTACCCCTCACCTCAGGCAGCAGCAACTAAAACATTTGCCAACAAAGGTCCCCCACAGATCAGCTTTAGCACAGGGCAGATCTGAATCAAGAGAAGTAAAGACCCGTAGCGATTTCTAGGAAACCACCAGACATTGACCTGACTGGTGAATAGTAGCTGTTGCTTGAGAATGTGGCTTTGAAGGGCCCGTTCTCCCTCCACAAGCTGTAGAACACGTGCTGTTACTGATCGAGGTTACTGCAGAGCTGGGAACAAGGGAAAGATGTCAGGGTCCAAGTTAAAGCACCACAGTTTGCTGTTCGCACCAAGATTTAGGCACTTGTCTTAAATTAGTGCCCCTGGGTCCCTGCAAGCCTGGGTTCTAGAGTTTGGAAAAAATGACTCTGATAATATTTGTCAGTTTTTGACAAGTTTTCCTTTTCCAGTGAAGGGCAGCCCCTTCCCACCGCTGAGTGTGCTTTGCAGCGTCCTGTGAGACCTGGACAGTTTACATACTGCGACATGGTAACCGCGGGAGTCAGATTCTCCTCCTTCCCCTGTCATTGCTGCTCTGGCCTGTTGAGGACTACAGGTCTCCATTCATTTAGTAACCGTGGAGGATTATTATTCTTCTATGTACAGAGGAGGATTTCCATGCTGTTTTTACAAAGACTAGATGACCTAAGAGAGATGTCTTTAATTAAATGCTTTGATGTAGTAAGTTTCTTTTGTTTGTTTGTTTTGAATATTTTGTCTTTTTAAATTCTTTGACAGGCCCTGCTTGGGAAGCCTCTGTGCCAGCCGGCCCCTCAGTTAATCCCTGGTAGATCAAAACACACAACTCTGACTTTTGGAGGATAAGGTCATTATTTCTCCAACCTGGTGCCAGGATGCCACTCAAGAATGTGGCCCACAATCCATTGCGCTCTTCCTTTCCAACTTGGGCCTGGCAGAATGGCTCCCGCAAAGAAGGGTGGCGAGAAGAAGAAGGGCCACTCTGCCATCAATGAGGTAGTGACCCAAGAACACACAATCAGCGTTCACAAGCGCATCCACGGAGTAGGCTTCAAGAAGTGGGCCCCTCGTGCACTTAAGGAGATCTAGAAATTTGCCATGAAGGAGATGGGAACTCCAGATGTCTGCGTTGACACCAGGCTCAACAAAGCTGTCTGGGCCAAAGGAATAAGGAATGTCTCATATCGTATCCATGTACGGTTGTCCAGGAAACATAATGAGGATGAAGATTCACCAAACAAGCTGTCCACTTTGGTAACCTGCATCCCTGTTACCATGTTCAAAAATCTCCAGACAGTAAATGTGGATGAGAACTAACTTTCAATAAAGTTACAAAACTGCCAAAAAAAAAAAAAAAAAAAAAAGAATGTGGGTGGCCATTCCTGCAGCTGTTTGCCATGGGACTGGGAGATGGGCAAATGTAGCTGCTCCCAAACGCACCAACACTTGCCAGTCTCTTCATCAGGATCCCCCTGTCATTGCAAGTTGACTCCAGAATTCATACTAGTTGCTGCTAACGTTTCTTGCCAGCCTAGGGATTGTGTGGCAGAGACTGATGCTCGAGTTCCGTATGCTGCCCTCGTCCACGATGTCGCCAGCACTGAGGCTTTTCGTGCTGACTGGGCACTCATCCTTCCGTAGGGGAAAACTCCGTCCTGGAGTCTTTCGGTTACTATTTTTGCCCTTGGGTGTGGTTAAATGTGGGTAGACCCTTATTTTCTTTTGTTTTGCTTACCACTCTGTAGACTTCAAATCTGAACTATTGAATTTCCCTTTAGCTCCAGGAAATTTGTCATTTTTCTCTTTTAAATTTACTTCTTCTGTGCATTTTTCCTTTCTCTTTAAAATGCTATTCAGATAAGTGATAGAATTTATGGATCAATCTCTTTTGTCTCTCTGTTTTGGTACATGTCTGCAACTTTTATTTTCCAAGTTGAAATTTAGTCTTTGGTCATTTTTTATGTTATTGTTCACATTTTTCATCTCCAATCACTTTTTCCCCAATTGCACCTTTTCCTTAATTGCCTGTTGCTAGCTTATGAATGTCTCTGAGAGTAGCAATTCTAACTTAAACAACTTTCTCTTATGTTCCCTGCATTCTTCCAAGTTCCTTTTGCGTCAGCATACTTATTTTCTTTTGGTTTCCCTTTCTGTGTGTGTGTGTGTGTGTGTGCTGTTGTTGTTGATTTTCCTGAGCATCATGTGAGCGTTGGTTCCTTGATGGTATTTCTGAAAGACCACACTGCTTTGTTGATGAGTAGAGGCGGTGCACACATGAGGTGACTGCAGTCCTGTCAATCTCATCTAAAGAAGTCATACTTCTCTCAGGGTGAGGGCCACTGCGGGCTGTGCCTAAATGAGTGACTGTGTAAACCACAGGCTCCCCTTGAGGGTAATGCGGGGGGAGGAGGAAGTCTTTCCTTTTGGGGAGGGCACTGTGGCCTGTTTCCTGGACTGCATAGGCACTGGCCCCATAGAGCATGTGTTTAGTCATCTCTGTCCCTGCTGTGTCCTCTCCAGAGTCCTAACATCCCTCTGCAGGCATCCCAAGTGGGTCTTCAATAAAGGAAGAGTTCAGAGAATCCATGAAGAGGCAAATGTTTCCCATATGAACACTGGCTTTCAACTCCAGTTTTTAAGAATACTCCCTTACACAGAGGATTCCCTGTACACAGGCTGCAACCTGCTGCTTTTTGGCTCCATTCACTGTATTTGTGCACATATAAACAGAGCTTTAAGAATTGCCCTCTAAAGTGGTAGCCTAGCGATGTCCCCTTTAATCTATGTTCTATATACAGTCGTAATAAAATTTGAATTAGTGAGGTTTTATTACGTACTTTGTTGAAGAGAAGCACACTGTTTGGACTGAATGTCTGGTTGGTGATTCTTAGGTCACTGACAGCTTGCTTTTCCTTCAACAGGAACATCACTTCCCTTGTGAGCCGTGTGATGCCGATTTTTGCTCCCTTTCATCTCTTTGATGCGCTGGCAGTGAGTGTTTGGAGTGATTTTATTCTATCATATATAGTAATGTATGTTTTATGTTTCTAGCTTTTTAAATTAAAAATCAAGTGTCTGATTTCACTTTTGAAAAGAGTGACTTCTTGCTTCAGCAGCTTGAGCATTTGAGGGGAAGATGAAGTACTTAGGAGTAGGTCATCTTAAGGTGGAGGAGACCTGAGTTCTCCACCTCCTCTAACTGTGCCTGGTACCCGAATGCCATGAGTGGAGTCCTGGCTGAGTGGTGAGGTGACCTTCCCTTGAATCCTCCCAGGAAGTCCATGCTACTTTGCATCAACTCTGGCCATTACACGGACTCTGGTTAGATGAGATCTTCTGTGGATGTGTGGGTATTGGAAGACCATCTTCCTATACTCTGGAATCATTCTTGGAGTATCCTTCATTACCTGATTCCTAGGCCTGAATAGTTGTCATGCTTTTTTTTCCCCATGTAATTTCTTCTGCTTTCTCCATAACAACCTGAAGATATGGTTCCCATGGTTGGACAGATGGTGGTAAGCAGTGTGGAAAAGAAGTGCATAATTGCATTAGTATTTTTCAGCCATAATTTCAGGCTGATTTCTGCTGAGATACTATTAACGTAACCTCTGTTCTTTGCAGGGAGTGGTTACCAGGAGTTGAACTCAGAACCTCACACTTGCCAGGCAGGCGCTTTACCACTGAGCTAAATCCCTGGTCCTGTAACCTCTACTTTTAAAAAATAATGTGCTTTTAGAAAATACTTTTAGTCAAGATAAATAATCAGAGATTTAAGTAGTGTTACTTGATAATTTTCTGATGAAAGCTGTTGTAGTTTTATTGTTATTAACATAACTTTAGAAGAAAAATGTTTTCCTTTATCTCTTACACAGTGTGCTCTGTCTGTTTGACTCTACCCAAACTTGTGAGATGCTAATGTGGTATTCAGTCTGATGTGACGAGAGTGGTGTGGCTGCAGTGTTGCTGTTGGGCTTTCTCTCCTTAGGGCGCCTGCGGCGGAGTACTGAGAGGTACTGGAAAGCAAAAGATTGGTGCTCTCCTGAATGCCATTGGTTACTATGTGCTCGGCTTTCCCATTGGAGTGTCTCTGATGTTTGCTGCTAAGCTTGGGATAATAGGTATGTGTTTAATTCCTCAGTGACTCACCGCAAATCTCATTTGTCATATTAAGATAAAGTCCTTGAGATATAAAGCAATTGAGCGGACAGTTATTCTGTGTGCAATAAGAGAAAATATTTTCTCTCCCAATATTTATTCAATGCCCTCTTGTACAAGAACACCGGGAGTGCAATATTGAATAAAACAAACATGCTTCTGCTCTTGGGATTCAATAATTATACAACTAGTCAATTTTACCAGTGGGTTAAGCACTACAAAGAGAACAGGCTGCACTGAGGTCTGTGATGAGGTGTGGGGAACATCTGAGCTCCACTGGCTTGTGAGAGCAGCTCTCTATGTCATGTATTAGCTCAGGCCTGAGACACAGGCATAAGCAGCATCTACTGAAAAGACTATTCTCCCCCTGCTGAGTGGTCTTGGAAACCTTGGTGGGAATCAGTGGACCAGAGACATAGGACTTGTTGCAGAGCCAGTACTGAACCTGATGGAAAATACTGTGCACCAAGGAGTTGGAAGGCAGCTTATTAGACTGGTGGGCTGATGGGGGTCGCTCCCAAAGCATCAACCCAGAGGCGACTTTGGGCTTAGTTTTTGTAGGTTTGCAAGCAGGAAGTACAAAGGCTTAAAAACATGGTGAGTTTTTATTGGGTCCCTCAATCATCTCTTATTGGGTAGAAAGTCCTTGAAATAAGTGAGTAATAGTTTTGGTCATCTCTTGGTGTTGAGCAGAAAGTCCTTGAAATAAGTTAGCAAACAGGGTGTGTTTGGGGGCTAGAAAGTACAGGCTATGCAACTGGGTGCAGTCAGACAGAGTGGGGTCAGGTTATCTCTGCTTCAGTCAGTCAGGGCTGAGTGAGTCTAACAGATGAGCTATGCAGTGGGCTGCATGATCTCATTTTGTCCTAATGTGGTGTCTGACTATTAGTTGATTTTTAAATTTTTAAAAATGTCTACTACAGACTTATTTGTAGACTCTCATACTTATCCCATTGGTCTCTATGTCTGTCCTTTTGCCAGTACTATACTGCTTTGATTCCCATAGCTTTGTAGTTAAATTCTGAAATCAGGAAATGTAAATCATCCAACTTTGTTCTTTTTCTATTTTGTTTTGACTATTTGGGGCTCTGTGATGGTTGATACATTGTGTCAACTTGAGAAGTTTAGAAGTTTAACTAAGCAACTCAGCAGGAGGCCAGGGTCCTCACTTTGTAACATCCTCATCCTGTGTAAGAGGAAGGCAGGGAGATGGTGTGAGTGCTACATCCACTATATCAGTCAGGGTTTACTAGAGAAACAGATATAACACAAGATATAGAAATGTGCAAGAAAGTACAAGTTTGGCTCACAATGGTCAGCCACAGAGTTGGATGAGGAAGCGTGCAGAGGGTGCTGGTGATTGAAGAGCCCAGCTGTGGGCCTGGAGCTCACTGCAGTGTCCATGTCCATGCAAGTCCGTATCAGGAGGCTAATGGGTCTGCGACAGAATGCTGAATAATCTACGACAAAGGCTGGAGAACCTACACCAGAAGGCTGAAGAGTCCCTGGAGGAAGCCGAACAGTCTGCACGAGAGGCCAGGAGATGACCAAGCCAAAGGAGAAGACTGCAGCTCCTCTGAAGAACCCGGGGCCAGTCCCTTCTCAGTTCCCTTTTTTAAATGCAGCCTACACTCCCCCCCCCCCTGCGCTGGGACCATGAGGGTGGGGTGGGGGTGGTCCTCTACATTCACACCCTCTGCATGCCTTCCTCTTGCACAGGCTCAGGATGTTTACAAAGTAAGGACCCTGCCTCCCTGCTGAGTCACATAGTTAACCTTCTAAATGCAAATTGACACAATGAACAACATCCCAGAAGGCTAAGGGCATGTCCTTTTCACCTCAAGATGCAGAACTGCTGAGTCACTTAGCCAAACCAAGTTGACTAGACTCCCCAAGTTGGCACAATGTATCCACCATATCACCCACCCTGGGGGATGGGGGTGGCCCGTTCACAATATAAAAGGAGGAAAAGAGGCTTGCTCTTCCCCCTTTTGTTCTTGCTGCTTTTGCTGTCTTCTGCCACTTTGAAGTGTTGCCCCGTGCCCTCCACCCTGCCTTGGTGCCAGGTGCTTGTGGACTGAAACATCCACAATCTGGGGCTGGGGATTTAGCTCAGCGGCAAAAGCGCTTGCCTGGCAAGCGCAAGGTCGTGAGTTCGGTTCCTGGTACCAGAGAAAAAACAAAAAAAATAAATTAAAAAAAAAGAAAACATGAAACATCCACAATCTGTGAGCTAATAATTAAACCTTTTCTTCCTTAATTTTGGGCATCAGGTATTTTGTTCCTGCAAGGAGAGAAAAGCAACCAAGACAGAATTTGCTACTGGGAATGGGGCCATTGCTGTGACTGTACCTGACCACGTGGTTCAAGAGCCTTTGGGAATGGCTTGTGGGAAGAACTTGGAAAGATTTAGAGATGCCGCCTGAAACAGTACAGCTGGAACACCTTAGGCTCTTCTGTATGGGAGATTCTGGTCAGAGCTCAGAAGACCAGAAGGCTGAGAAAAAGCCTGCTGGTAAAGGCCAGGCTTAGGGGGTTTCTGCCGGGAAGGACTGCAATGGGTGCTGGTCTCCAGATGATGTGTGTATTATGGCTTGGCAGAAAGTTTGTCTGCGTTTTGCTCCTCCTGTCCAGAGACTTTGCCTGAGACTGAGATTAAAGGTGGTGGACTAACTAATCTGGCAGAAGAAATTTCAAGGCAGTCAAATGAGGCAATGGCGTGGCTATTGTTGGGGGGCTTTTAGCCAGATTTATATTGAGAATCAAGAGGGAAGAGCCTAGCAGAATGATTTAAAATGTTATGCGTTTGGCCAGAAGGGAAGCTCCAGTAAAGCTGTGGACTGTAAAGACAGAGCTGAGGAGATCTCCACTGCTGAGAAGGAACAGGAAAATATAAAAGATGGCCTGAGGGCATCAGTAGGAGCAGCGAGTTTCTACCCTTTGCACCCTCAAACCTGCAAAAGTGAAAGACTTTGCTTTGGGGGGGAAAGCCACAAAGTACCATGTTCCAGAATGGAACATGGAAAATTCCTTCCTCAGAATTGGATTCAGAGTGCCCAGCAATATAGGCACTTGACTGCTATAGCCAAGAGAGAGGAAAGCCTGGCTACTGCTCCAGCTGGCAGCAGACCTTGGCATTATCCACGTGGTGCTGGTTTTAGGTGCATGCAGAATGCAAGAGTTCTGAGGTGAAAAAGGCTCCCACCTTGATTTCAGAAGGCCTGGGAGGCCAGGCAGTGTGCCCCTGAGAGGGCACACTGAGAAGGGAGAAACTGTGAGAAGCCAAAGGTGCAGTGGAGACCCCAGAAGTTTGGAGAAGCCAGGAACATGGGTTGTCTAAGGAAAGCTGCAAGGAGGGAGCAAAGTGGAAGAGAAGCTGTGGGAGCTATAACCAGTAGAAGTGTCATAGGGGTAGAGCCATCCAAGCCTTTTGGAGCTCACAGTTTGCCACAGATTGCTTCAGATGCTGGACATGGAACTACAGGACTTTATGTTTGCCCTGCTGGGTTTTGGACTTGCTTGGGTCCCTTTCCTTTGTGTTTCCATTTGTAGCTTTTGGAATGAAAATGTGTATTTTGTGTGTTGAATGTTGGAAGTGTCTATCCTTTCATTTGTATAGGGGCCTGCATCTTAGAGTTGGCCTTACATCTAGGAGGAGACTTGGGATTTGGACTCTTCAGCAATACTGAAACTGTTAGGACTTTGGCAACTCTTGGAGATGGACTAAATGTTCTTTTGCATAAAGGGATGTGCATGAGTCTTTCAGGGTTGCGGGGCAGAATGTTATGGTTCTAATGTAATATAATATTGATAGACCCAATACTGGTTCTTAAGGATTATTAAACCTGTGTTACAATGTTCATGTTGTGAAATGAGAAGAATACACATGCCTTTGCATCTGGAAACTGGTTTAAAGAAATATGTCTGGTTGCCAAGTTGACAAGGGATGAATTGTAATGGCTGTTACATTGTGTCAACTTGAGAAGTTTAACTAAGTGACTCAGCAGGGAGCCAGGGTCCATCCTTTGTGAATATCCTCATCCTGTGCAAGAGGAGGGCATGGAAATGGTGTGAGTGGTACACCCACCTTGGGGGGGTGGGATACCCTGCTTATAATATAAGGGAGGAAAAGAGGCTTTTTCTCCCCACTTTTGCTCTTGTTCCTTTTGCTGCCTTGTACTGTCTTCTGCTGCCTTGAAGTGTTGCTCCTGTGCCATGTGCCACCCTGCCTTGGAGCCAGCTGATTACAGACTTAAACCTCTACAAACTGTGCGCTAAATAAACATTTCCTTCCTTAATTTTGGGCATCGGGTATTTTATCTCTGTAACCAAGACAGGCTCCTTATAATTCCATACGAATTTGAGGATCAGCTTTTCTATTTTGGTATGAAAGACTATTAGAATTTTGATCTGGATTACAATAAATCTGTAGATTATTTTGGAAAGTGCTGCCATCTTAACAGTATTAAGCTGCCATCTATGAACATGGGATACATTTCCATTTATTTGTGTTTTAATTTCTTAGAATAGTGTTTTTCAATTTTCAACATACAACTTTTACTTCTTTGGTCAATAGCATCTAAAAGAATAAAAAGCTAGAATTCTTTTCTTAATTTTCTTTACAGATTGGTCATTTCTGGTCATGTGATCTGCAAAAAGAGATGGTTCTACTCCTTCCAAGTTTTTTTCCTTACCTTTTCTTGCCTTATTGTTCTAGCAAGGACTTCTGCATTAGGATTTTAATGATTTTTCTATATCCTTCAGTATTTCATTTCCAGTGTAAAATAATATGATAGTTAAATTTACAGGATATGAGATAATATTCATAAAAAGCTTTTGTCAAAACTGTGTTAGGCTCTTTATGCACATTATGCCATTTAAATTTTTGACAACTGTGTAGCCAGGCATGGTGGTACATGCCTGTAGTCGAAGCATAGGAGGCTGAGGCAGGAGGATTGCTGTGAGTTTAAGGCCAGAAAAAAATAAATTTATGACAACTGCATAAGATAGAATATCTCATTAGCTTGTTTTATTGTGTGAAAAATTTAAAACCTGACAAGGTTAAGTAACTGTTCCAAGTCCCTCAGTTATGAAGGGGTGAGGCAGGATCGGAATCCAGGTAGTGTGAGTCCAGAACCACACTTGTTGGTGCTGTGTGTTGTCCCTCTCATCTGGGTTTCATGATTCCCTCATTCATTCAGTGAACATTCATGGAGTGCCAGTGTATGTCAAGCCCTGTGCTCTCCCTGTCTCTTGGAGTTCACACTCCCTGCCCTTAGTTTACTGCCCTCTCTTGTTCTTTGGCATTCTTCCAAGTCTCTGCTCTTGGAATGTTGGTTTACCAGGATGGTGGTAGTGCTTCTGGCCCTGTGTTCTGCATACTTCTCAGAAGTCTTGGCTTTGCTCCTAGATGTTCATATTGCAGGCCTTCGTCAGTGGCCTGACCTCATGCCTGCATTCCACATAGTATTTCAGCTGCCCCAGGCCTTCCTGGCTGCCCTAGCAATGTCTCCATCACCTGGCCTCCTTGTTGGCTCCTTTCTGTTTGACACTAATTCCGGAACTCAGCCCCAATCTCGCTACCAAGTCAGGCCAGTTGTGCTGCTATGATATCTTTCATGTCCGTGAAGGGATCGAAAGGAAGAGCTGAGAGTTTACAGCAGCTGTGACAATGGAGTTTGTCTTAGCACTTATTATATCCAGTAAACACTGCTTCTAACTCAACCACCTATTACCCTCCTTAGGGGTTAACCCTTGGCATCTGTTTTCCTCCAGGGGGAGAAAGCAGAGGTGTACAGCTCCAGTTGTTCACATCTATTTCATCCCTCCTCAAGGAAACTATTCTCAAGTTTCATCTCAGGGTGGTACCACTGTGTCTCTGTAGAGAATAAATGTGGTCTTGGGAGGGGGAGGGAAGGAAGGCAAAGGGGAGGAAGAAAGAGTCAGGATGTGTTATGTATGTGCACTCACCTCCCCACGATGACTGTAATCACTGTGTGCTCTCAACATGAACTAAGATAAATAAAAATAAAAAACACAGTCTTGCCAAAGACTCAGGAGTTGACTCAGAAATCCACCTGCCAGTCCATCCGGCACCTGGAGCCGTCTGTGTTTGCATGAAGCAGATGTTTCTCTGACACAGCTTTCATGCTCCAGTATCAGGTGAACATTTTGGAAAAGCTTGCTTCTGTTGAGTCATGTTTTATCAATTTTGGGCAATAATCCTATAGGAAAAAAAAGAAAACTATGTGGGGGTGTGTGAGAAAACCAAATTCTGAAATAATTTGGCCATGTAATATAACAATGAAAAAATTGTATTTAAAAATTTATCATTCGTTTGCATTGCTAGTCCTAGCTGATGAAATTCCAGGAGCTTTTAATGACTTAAAGCTGCATCTACCTGAAAATGCTATTAAATTTACTGTCTTAAAAATAATTATGTACACAGATGAGTAAGAAGAGAGTTACCAAACAGTGTTGCTGTTAAGTCACCAATAATTTTCCTACCAAATTTATAATCCTTACTGTATATCAGTACATGCAGAATGTATTTCTGTATACCTAAAACAACATCGGCTCGTAGCACAGAAGATGGGAATTTAATTTAATTTATGTCACACAAATGAAATAGTTGTCACTTCTTTATTGTGTGATCAATACTTTCTCAGAATTTGATTTCTCCCCTTTCCTATGACCTTTTTCATCATGGGAGTAGTGGTTTTAAGTATTTTTGGCTTTCTGGATTTCAACATTCGAGCAGAAGCTAAACAGATACTGCTGCCTTCCCAGCCTCCAAAACCATGAACCACAATAAACTTTTTGTCCTTTATAAATTACCCAGCTTCTGGTATTTTCTTACAGCAAGAGGAAAGAAAGAGACTAAAATACCTCTTTCACCATGAAACTAAGAATTGTTTGTATAGATGAAGGCTATTAATAATTATAGCTCTTACAATTATGAATCCCTCCTTATTTATAGTAGTTTTGAGTAGATAACTGTGAGTTTTTCAGGTACACAATTATATTATTTGCAAAACTCAATTGTATATTTTTCCTTTTCAGCCTGCATACCACCAATTTCTTTTTCTTGCGCAGTGCCTCTAGTGGTGTAACGAGTTGTGGTGGTGGTGGAACGTTGCATCATGACTTCCATGCTAACACTCCCAGTGTTTATTAAATGATGGTTGAATTTGGGGCTGAAATAAGTACATATCTGTTTTTGTTTTTATTTTAATCATGTTCAAGAAGTGTCTATGGAATCTATTTAATGTTTCCAACAAAAATGGTTCTGAATTTTGTCAGGTGTTCTTTTGGTGCCCTTAGAAATGATCTAATCACCTTTACCCTTAGATCTAATGGAAAGATAAATGACATTAATTAGTTTCCTTGTACTCAGCTATCTTGATTATATGTTGTTCCTTTATTGGGCAGCTAGATTCCTTTTGTTAATATTTTATTATTAAAGAATTTTATAGGTAGGACTGATCTGCAGGGCTTTGTATTTGTCTGTTTTTGTGGTATTGAGGATTGAATCCAGGGCCTTCACGCTGAGCTACATCCTTAGCCTTTTTATTTTGAGAGAGGGTCTTGCTAAGTTGCTCCACTGGGCTTGAACATGTGATCCTCCTGTCTCAGCCTCCCAGAGTGCTAGGATTACAGACATCTGTCATGGGCTCACTTTGATGTACAGTTTTATTTTTTGTATGTGTTTGTCAGGTTTTGCTATTAATGTTGTATTCATGTGTTAGTCACTTTCCTTGTCCCTGGGACAAAATACTCAGCACTCACAACTTAAAAGAGGAGAGGTATATTTTGGTCCACATTTTTAAAGAGGCTTCAGTCCACAGTCATTTGGCTTCAGGGCCAAAGTGGCACGAGCCGAGGGCCTGCCATGGAGGAGAGCTGTTCACGGCAGCTCTTTCAGGAAGCAGAGAGCAGAAGGAGGAGTCGTGGGAGGGAGGTGCACGCTGCTGCCTCAGGTGCCAGTGACCGCCTGCTTCAGACTTAGTGCTCCTGTGATTCACTCACCTCCAGAAGCCCCATCTCTGAGTACACGAGGCTACCGGGGACCCCTAGACATGAAACATAACAACTCACCTCATAAAGTCAGTTTGAAATCTTTCTTTCTTGTATGCCTTGGGACAACTTAAGTAGTGTAAGAATCATCTGTTTTTATAAAGGTTTGGTGTGGGGCTGGGGATTTAGCTCAGCGGCAAAGTGCCTGCCTGACAAGCACAAGGTCGTGAGTTCAATTCCTGGTACTGGGGGAAAAAAAAAAAAAAGAATGGATAAAGGTTTGGTGAAACTCTTCCATGAAACCCTCATGACCCTACCGGTATTCTGAAGCTCAGTGGTAGGGTACATGCCTATCATACAGGAGGCCCTGGATTTGATACCCAGCATTGAAAAAGAATTCTTGTGGGAGAACTGAATGAATGCTCTAATATATATTGAGAAAATTCTTTTTGCTCTGTATCTAGTCAAATTTTTTACCATTTATTGTTTCCCCATTCCTTTATGAAACTCAGATTTCAGCTGGTAGCCAAGCTTTATTTTATCCAAACAGAAGCAGAGGCTCAGTCTCTTGTCTTCTTGGAAATACCGCCGTTTGGTGGCATAATGAGTAATTGTCTTCACTATCCTCCCTCATTTTAGTGGTGGGTATAGGCTGGGGCCATGGAGTGTTTGGTGAATTTCAAACTGGAATACATCATTCTATTTGGGAACAGAACTGGCAAATTGTCACACTGCCTCTCTACGAGAAACTATGGCTGACACTGGGGAAATACCATTTAACTATAGCAATATCCCTGTTCTTAGTGAGCTTCTGTGGTTTTACATTTCATCTTTACTTTAAAAAAAAAAAAAAAAAGCAAAGAACTGTTCACCCTTTAGACTCTAAGGTCCTGTCTTCTTTATCCAGTAATGAGTTGATTGCTATTGTACATAGTAGGTGCTGTATTTGTGTATAATCCCTGTAAATCAGTGATTGATTTGTGTGTAATCCCTGATCCATGCTGACCTAAAATTTTTGGAAGGGAAGTTAATTTAACTGGTTTGCTCCACAAATTATGGATTATTAGGGAAGAATTTTAATGGCCAAGGGAACAGAGGTGAAGAAAATCTAAACTCTGATACTCTTGTTTTACCCACAGGCCTCTGGTCTGGATTGACAGTTTGTGTCTTCTTTCAAGCCCTTTTCTATTTGCTGTGCATCCTGAGAACAAACTGGAATGGAGCTGCAGAGCAGGTAACGGTGTATGTGCTGATTTTAGAATGTGGCTCTACTTGATCCCATGCCACAGTAAGGAACCGTTAAGGTCAGAACAATACAATGCCCCTGCCACCAGCACTCACAGTGGACCATGAAGTGCGTCTGATATGCTAGGCAGTTGGATGGAGATGTACAAAAGTCTCATTTCAGCACGTTTCCTTGTTATCCAGAACTGATTTAGTATCTGTTTACCAGAGATCCAATCTTTTTAAAAAGTTCACTTACACATATTTTCCTGTTTGATACAGTAAACTTGGAAAAATTGTTTCTTGTTTATAGTGATTATCTCTTTTTTAGGTTTATTTAAAAAATATTTTTGTCCGTTCTTTACTAAAATGCAGTATGTTAAGTATCTGTGGTCTCTGGGCAGTACTTTGGGGGCAGAATATATGGGTAGAGAGCAAGATCCTGACCCCCGTGAACATCTCTGGACTGAACTGTGAACTTGATTTGTGGAGACGTGAGATGAGATGGAAGGATGGTTGCCTTAGGTGAGGGGTTCTTAACAAGGGGACACCCAGATGAGTTTAGGGGTATCAGCTCTTTCCGTCCAAGCTTTAACCTCTCTTCAGATTTCAAATCCATTTGAATTTGCCTAGTAGCAGTGTATTATATCTTTCTTAAATTCAGTTTGCTTTATTGAGAGAATAGAGCGTACAGGGCATTCAGGTTGATCATAAAGTGACCTGTAGTTGATGACACCACTGACGTTTAGGTTTTATTCCATTTACCCGTGTTTCAGAACACCAAGGGGCACAGGTACGAAGAATATGTCAACCCTGCCACTATGGCCATAGGGAGCTTTTATGAGCCAAGCCTCAGCGGGGGAGACCACTAGCTTTGGTGCTTTGCTCGTGTGGGATGGCTTCTTTAGAAATGTGAAAGGTTGTGCTGAATATTATAACCCTTCAAGAGTAGCTTTAGCAGTAGCTATACATTGAAATTTAAAGAAAAATTATTATTTTGGCTTGACTTATGCCTCATTTCCTCATGTGACCTTGCTTTTAGGCACAGATTCGAGCTGGGCTAAAAGGCAGTAAAGACCCCACGCTGACCCCAACAGGTACCGAAAGGCGTGCTTTTCTGTACTCTAACATAATGCGGCCGGAGTTTCATGGTCATTTTTTATAATATATTCTCATGTAAATTTCAGTAATATAATTTTACTTGACTCAGTCCTAGTAAGTGCCTCACTGTTTTCTTCAAACAGATCAACTGAACCTGGAAAGAGAAGTAACTGATGGCGTGATTTTACCTGATATTATCAGACCGGAGAGTCAGACTGCTCAACTGATGGCACTGGAAGAAAATCAGTATGTGCTTCCTACCATTGGAGAGATCTTGACAGGGAGACAGTTGATTTTCTATCGTGGAACAGCATTAGCTCTTGCTATTGCTAGCCTTGTGGCGGGAATTTTAGTAAGAGTTTTTCACTGGCCATAAGTAAAATAGAAAAAGCATCGCCAGTCTATAAATTCGAAGTGATAACTTTATGCTGTATATGAGGTAGGAAACATGGTCTTGTTATTTGGATGGTGTTTTCACTGTCAACTGTGGGAGGAGAGGATATCAGTGATGTTTCCTTAGTTATTCTGAGAAATTGCCCACTGTATTAGAGATAAAGAAAGAGCTGTGCTTTTGGCAGGGGTGGTGGGGAGCGTTACACCCAGGTCCTTGTGAGTGCTAAGCGTGTGCTTTCTACGCCTGCACTCTCAGCCCCAAGGGGCTATAATTTTAAGTATACTTTTCTTTCTTAACTTTATCATGCTTTCTAAATATATACATTTGATATTCCCTACTGTAAATGTTCTTTACTCTTTCTCATATTGAATATTTTTCCCCTTTCAGGTTTATTGTTTAATGCCATGTAAAATATTATTACTTGTTTATATTTCTCTTTTAATATACTTTGTCTTGGCAGGGAGTATATATTAAGTGCCTATTAAGTCTTACGTAATATAAGCTTTTATTAAAACGAGCATTTTAAAATTTTAAATGTATGCTGACAGTATTGGAGACTGTCAATGTAAAAAAGATCACTTACATTTCTTGTTTTATAACAAACTTTTGTGTCAACTTTTATATGTAATTGGAAAATAAATCTGTGTTCCCTGGCTACTCAGTTCCCACAATGCTGACGGCTGTGGTTTTTCCTCCAGGGAAAAGAATTTTAGAGCCTTTTCTAGAGAATCTGATAAAATCAAAGGAAAATCCTAACCATATTCTGCTATCGGGTAATCCCACACAAAGCCCAGCAGGCATCTAGAGTGGAGTTTACAGATCAAAAATCCTACTGTTAGTCAGCGTTCTATTGCTATAACAAATATCTGAGATAATTTACATGTACAGAGAAAGGCTTATCTTGGCTCACAGTTTTCATGGTTAAGTCCATGGTTGCTTGTCCCCACTGCTTTTTGGCAAGGCAGCATATCATAGTAGTGTAGTGGAGCAAAGCTGCTCACCTCATAATGTGGGAACAAAGAAAAGAAGAGGAAGGACTAGGGACCCACTATCTCCTTCAAAAGCATACCCTTAAAGACTGCAGACTCCCCACAAGGTCCTACCTCATGAAAGTCCCACCACTTCCCAGCAGAGCTCTCAGCTGGGGCCAAGCCTTTAGCATGTGGGGCTTTGGGGGACATTCGAGGTCCAAATTACCATGCCCAGGTGCCAGCAGTTCATTTAGCTTACTTGTTTCCCTCTCTTGAAGATGAACAAGCAATTTAGGATTATCAGTTATCTCTAAAAAGCTAATTATATGAAAAAGCAACTAAGAAAACCAGCTTATTTACAGGAACAAAATATATATCCTCAAAGAGGTAATATAAATATTACAACCATCATGTAGCATGGGATACTACAGAATAAAACATTTGGAAAAAAATTAAGGTAAAATTTATGTGACATAAAACTAATCATTTTCAATTGTGCAGTTCAGCACCATCTGGTACAATTGCACAACCACCCATGTAGTTACAAAACATTTTCATCACCCCCCAATCAAGCCCCAGACGTATTAAGCTGGCACTCCTCAAACCCCTTTCCCCTCAATCCCTGGCAGGCACTATGTCTATGTGTATTTACTTATTTTGTTTATTTCATGTGGGAAGAATTTTTGAGAGTCACCCATGTAGGAGCACATATGGGAACTTGTTTCCTTATTTACAGCTAAATGATGTTTCAGGGCCGGGGATATAGCTCAGTGGCACAAGCACCTGCCTGGCAAGTGCAAGGTCCTAAGTTCGATTCCTGGTATCAATAAATAAATAAATAAATAAATAAATAAATGGTGTTTCATTGTATGATGTGCTTTATTCTGTTCATGTATTTATCAGTTGATAGAAATGTGCATTGCTTCCATCTTTTGGCTGCAGTTTTCAGTGTACAAGTCGTGATGTTTTCTTTCCTTTGGGATCATTCATTGCTAAATTATAGAAATGCAACTGATTTTGTCTCTTGTGTTTTGTGTGTGGATTTGTAGATTTGTTTATTAGGTCTGATGCTTTTGTGAACTCAGAAAGGTTTTCTACAAATATAATTAATTGCCTGTCTCAAATTTCCAACACTATTTTGACAATGAGGCAAGAAAAAGAATAAAAGGCATCCAAGCTGGAAAGGAAAAAGTAAAATTACCTTTGTTCCCGGATGACATAATCTTATTTCCATGGCATAAAGACAGGCATACAGACCAATGGACAGAACTGGGAGCCTGGAAATGAATCACAGCATATAGGTCAAATGACTTCACACACAGGTGTCAAGACCAGTCAGTAGGAAAAAGGAAAGTCCAAGCCACCGCTGTTCTGTAGATGTTTGGGTCACTTCCGCCTGCAGTGTGTGCTCTCGGACATGTACCATGGCATTTATGTGTGCAGTTTTCTCGGGGATCTAAGAGTTGTAATGGAATTAATGAGTCATAAACGATGCTTATCTTCCATTTTATTAATTAATGTAAAGCTGTTTTTCCAAAATGGTTATATAAATTAATATTCGTTCCAGCCAGGCATGTTATTCTACATCCGTGAGGACACTCAATATTGCTGGACTTTCTCATTTTTGGCAGGCTGGTGGCTGCCTTATTGTTCACTTGCTTTTCTTAGTTATGAAGGTGATATGTACTCAGCGTACCGTTTCTTCTGTAGCTTTCTAATCTTTCTCCAAGCATAAGCAAGGGAATGTGGACATATTTTTATTTCTTCTATTTTTGAGACTGCATAGTACATATTGTGCACTATCTTGCTTTTTTCATTTAACAATATACCCTAGATATACTTCCCTATCAGTGTAATGAAAGCTTTCCTATTTTATTTCATTGCCACACAATATTCCACTGTGGGGCTATACCATAGTCTGTGTAACCAGTACCCTTTAAGGTAGACACCTGGACTACTTCCAATTTTTTGCTATTATAAACAGGGCTGATATTATATATCTATTCATCGATTTTTCTCATTATAATGGCCCATGATGACAAGAGGTTTATCCTTAGCTGCTGCTACACACTGCACCTCAGACCTGACATACAGTAAGGCCTGGCATACTGTAAGTGCCAATGAATATTTGTTGCATAAATGAATGAATAACACACCCTCACAGACTGTGTTCTCAGCGCTCTTACACCACCCACCTTTGCGGTTTTCTCCACTGCTCTCAGTCTGTGTCACATCGGGAAGATTTAAGAGGATCTCTTTGATGAAGCAAGAACTAGGCAAATCTAACCCACTCTTCTACTTCTGCTTTATAGATAGTGCTACAGTGAATGACCTGCCTACTCACAGGTATTTCCCCTATGGGCAGCTTTATGTATCTTCAGGGATATAATTTCATAAAAGGACTTTTTGTGTCAAACTGAATTTGTAATTTTGACAGATGATTGCCAAATTACCCTTCTAAGGGATAACACCAGTTTTACCCTCCAGTAACAATGTATAAAGATCACTGTATCATCACAACCTTGTCAGCAGAAGATGCTGGGAAACTTTTGGATTTTGCTGAGCTGATAGCTAAAAAGTGGCATCCCAGGGTGCTTTTCATTTGCATGTCTCTTAGTAAGAGTGAAGTTGAGCACTGTTTTATATATGAACTCTTCTTCTATAAACTAGTCATGTCCTTTGCCCATTTTCCTATTAGATTGTTGATCATTTTCTTCTTGATGTTTAGAGGCTCTGTGTAAGGACAATTTGAGTATATAGTGACTTCACTCAGTGTTATGGTTGAGACCTGAACTGTCCTCCAGTCATCTCATGTGTGTGGAAGGTGACTAGCTCATGGGAGAACTGTAGCTGGCTTGCTGTTAGGAGGCAGGATCTGGTTGGGGGTCAGTCACTGAGTGTATGACCTGGAAGGGTGTGTTCTTTTTTTTTTTTTTTCTTTGTCTTTTTGAGATAGGGTGTGCTGTGCAGTTCAGGCTGACCTTGAGCTCACTTTGTAGCCCAGGCTGGTCTCAAACTCGCAACAATCCTCCTGCCTCAGCCTCCTGAGTACTGGGATTATAGGCGTGCGCCACCAAGCCCAGCATCAGGAAGGGTGTATTCTTGTCCCTGGCTTCTCCCTTCTCTCTCTCTGCTTCCTCACTGCCATCAGTTGAATTCTTTTCCTCTGCTATGACCCTCTGCCATCCTTTTTCTGCCTTAGAGCCAACCATAGATTAAAACCACGAACCACAGTAAACCTCTCTTCCTGTAAGTGGTGTTGGGTATTTTGTCCCAGTGACAGGAAAGTGACTAAGGTGCCAGCTGATAAATATGGCTTCACGTGTGTCCTGGAATCCAAGCTATCAGGAAAATCTGTTCCTTTTGGTAAGGAGCTAGAAGAGAGGTGGAAGAAGAATGGTTGCTATTGCTTCATTTTCTAACCTAGTATAAGTAAAAAAACAGTAATTATGTGTTGTATTTAAAAAAAAAAGAATAAAGAAGAAAGGTTAAAACTTCAGAGGTGGGAGAGATTAGATAAAGATGCAGGCTGAGCTGGTGATGTGCACCTGTAATCTCAGCACTGTGGGAGGCTGAGGCAAGAAAATGGCAAGTTGAAGGAAAAAAAAAAGAAGATGGCAAGTTGGAGCCCAGCTTGGGCAACTGAGCAAACCCTGCCTCAAGGTGAAAAACAAAAGAGTTAGGAATATAGTTCAATATGAAGGCCTTGTATTCCATCCCCAGTGCTACAAAAAGAGAGAGAAAGTCAGAGAGACAGAGAGACAGGTGAAAGAAAGCAAGAAAGAAAGAGAAAAAGACTAAACTCCTGTGTAATTCTTCCTTCTGCTCTGAATCCTACTAAAATAATAGAAACTAGCATTAGCATGCCAGAATTCCTATCTGAGAAAAGCTGATTGAAACAGAAAAGTAGAGGACAAATCACGGCCCATGCCACAAGTGCCCATAGAAATTTCCAACAAAATTCCAGAGTTAAATGCTAAGAGTTATAAAGGGTTCTTGGGAAAAACATCAGGTGAATAATTTTAAAATTCTATTTGAAGGAGTTGGGACAACCATGCTTTTCTTCCTGCTCAGCGTATTGGGCTGATAGTAGCAGCCACTTCTACAGCAATGAGTCCCTGAAAACTACTTTCTCAGGCAGTAAACTCTCAACCAGAGGGTGGCTCATGGCTTACGTGTCAGGGCAGGAAGTGCAGCAGAGCCAAGTTCTTGATGCCTCTGAAACTGCGAGGAACCAGCTCGTACTAACTTCACCCTAACCAGCACAGTAAGACAGTCAAAAATAAGACATGCAAATGTGGGGAAAACAGACAGAAGTACCACTGAATACGGTAAGTCCACCTACCTAAAAAATGCAGAAAAGCTAAAAGTTATTAAAAATAGAGGTTTCAGAAAACTCGCTAGGAAGTTCACTTCCCACTAATCTATAGCTTTCCTATATTTCAACAATTACCATGTAGGAATTTTAATTAAAAATAAACTCACAATAGTAAAAAAAAAAAAACTAATAGAAAAATCTAAACACTTAGGATATAGGTCTAGCAAGAAGTCGGCCAAATCCATAGGAACCTACGCATGCCGACTTCTCTCATAGCTGTGCGGTGCCCCCTGATCTCTCTGCCCTCTGTCCCTGTCTGGTTCTTTCTCTACTGCTGACCACTCTGCCATCTTGCGATTCCTCACCTCCCTCTCTTTTCTTT